TGAATCCAGGTCTGCACCAACCTGCTTGTCTGTCAATAAATCTGCTCCAAAGCTCTGCTGGTTACAATCTGAACAAATGTTCTGGATGTAAAGTGTTCTGTCAGATGGGATCAGAACCAGATAGAAAAGTTCTGATTGGACCGAATGAGTTTGATGTTGTATCTGTTAGCAGCTGTGATGATGTTCTGAACGTGAACGTGAATGTGTTTATATATTTTTCTATATTTTTATTTCATGCCTACAGGTCTGTGAGTTTCTCTGTTAGATCTCCGTCTGATTCTAAATATAATGAATGTGTTTTATGTTTTTATTTCTTTCTCTCATGAATCAACAGAAGTTAAACTGATCTGATGAACAGATTCTTTATGAACTGTTTGAATGTTTTATCTGTGTAGGAGCCATGAATAAGATGAAGCACAAAGAGAAGGATTTTATCGTTCTGATTGTGACATGATTTTATCTAACTGTGAAGCAGTGTTTGGTGTTATCATGGTTGGTTATCTGTATAATTGTGATCAATGTTGGAGGCTGGTCACATGGTACAGGGCGTGAAGTTTATTTAGGTTCTAAGGAGAGGATGATGAGTTTTTGTTGACCACAAGCCTGATCCTTGTGAGATTCATCTTGCACATTACGTTAAGTTGACCTTTTTTCATTTTTAAACTTTTGAAACGTATTTTGGATCTCAGCGAATCTTTTGTGCAGCGTGTCGGACACAGAGCTCGGCCTACCTTCATCCTCTCAGCGCTCTGCAGTTTGTTTTGTATGAAGTCGCTACCAGCTGTTAGCAGCTGTGATGATGTTCTGAACTGTTGTGCTGATGAAGCTGCAGCTGATCGGATGTGTTTTCTATATGTTCTGTAACTGCCGTCCTGCTGAGCGGCCTGTCAGTGGGATCTTTCTCCTCCATGATGCTGTGTTCATCTTCAGGGAACATCCAGGTGAATGTAGTTCAGTTCAACGCTCAGTATTTGCTTCTGAACTGTGCTGGAGGTTCGGTCCAATATACAGCACTGATCCTCAGAGAATGTTCTCAGTGACTGAACACAGCTGATGGACTGTCTGGACTGGAACAGACTGAAAGAATAAACTTTGCTGCTTTGCTCTTCAGGTCTGATGCTGAACTGTGTGTGATTGTCTCAGTGTGTTTTAGTTTAGCAGCAGAGACCAGCGAGTTCCTGACAAACATCTGACACATGAACAGTGAAGGAGGAGATCCCTCACTGGCTTCCCACCACAAACGCAGCCCGTGGTGTTTGCTGAAGCTCACCGCCGACACAAACTCTGAAACCTGCAGCACCTGAGCGTCATGTGGATGCTCTACCCTGAGCACCGCCTGGCAGGCAGAGCTCCACTGCAGCCAGGTTCTAATGTGGAGCGAATGTTTGTTTCAGTCTGTTTGCTTCACTGGTTTTCTGCTGCTGGTAGCTCGTCAAAGCCCATCAAGTTGATCTGATAACAAGACGTCACTGCAGGACTGAGAACAATAAAACATCAGAGCTGGTCTACCAGATAGTAAAGTCCAGTCTTTATCTCCTGGACTCGTCTCTCTGAACTCAGGTGGTTTCCAGTCAGTAGAGAAGTGAAGCTCCGCCCTGCACACCTGTCGTCCAACCGGATTGGTTCCTTTCTGCTGTTTCTTGCTGCTTCATAGAAAAGTCCAACCTGTGAGCTGATGAGCAGACAGAAGATCAAACCATGAAACGTCACAGCGGTGTCGGTCGTAGCTTCTCTCTGATTGGTTAATAGAAATACTGAGAACGCTTGTGCTCTATGTGCTACGGCTGCAGCCTCCTGATCTTCTCCATGAAAGAGCTCCACATGTGCAGGACTTTACATCCAGGAGTGGATTCATTATCTGTACAGTCTGGAACATGTCAGTGACTGATTCTGATGTCTTTGACACACACACACACACACACACACACACACACACACACGTTCAGAACCTTGAAGACCAAACGTTTGAGTCAGAAACAGCCCAAAAACATGAAACGACATTGTTGGACACTTTCCCTCAGGACGTTTTCAATCAAACAGGAAACAGTTTCATAGAAATCCTGAAGGCTCATAGCTCAGGAGACATTATCTCATGCTGTAGTTTCACAAACGACAGGTTTAATGGAGACACTTTGGTCTCTGAAGTCCTGAGTGAACTGGTTCTGATGCCCTCGCTGTGCTTGGTGTTGAGCTGCACGTGTTTTACATTCATTCTGCCTTCGTACGAACAGAAGACAGTTCACTGGACATTTCTGATGTCACTAACTCATCCTGAAGTCCTCCGTACGCTCTAAAATCCTGATCAACATCATTTCATGAGGCTTGATTATTAATGAAACCAGGAACAATCTGCTCCAGCAGGTCCAGGCTCCGCCCTTCAGACCGGTCACAAGCTTCCACTGCACTCGGTTCGTATCAATAAAGTGTGTTTACTGATTAAACCTTGGACAGTGGTAGCCAATGACTGTGTGTGATTGTCTCTGGGCTTCATCATCGTTTCTGTGTCTGTAAACGGACTCACACGATACTTTCACTGATTTATGCTTCAGAGGATAAAATCCGTTTTACAGTCAAAGTGCAGACCTGATGATGACTGAACTACGTGATTTCAGAACATGTTTTACTGGTTTCCTGTGTGTTCCTGCTGACACCAGTGTAGCAGCTGGACAGTACATTAGTTTGTTGTTTAGTAATGAAGCTGAATCAGAATTTATTTGGTTGCTTTTGGACCAACAGACAGCAGAACGTAAGAAAGCCACCGTTGGAGTAAAGGAAGGACTGGACGTGAACAGACTGTTGGATCTGACAGATGATCTGAACAAAGTGCAGCTTTAAGTCGCTTCTAAAGTCAGACTGAAAAAACGAAGGTTGTGAACATTTTATTCTGTCTGAACTTGTGAGCGTCATCGTCTCTGGGACTTGACTGTGCAACAGCGCCCTCTAGTGGATGAATGCTGATTTACAGTTTGACTTAAACCTCATCATTCAAATGCGGCTCTCAGGATTATGAGCAGCTTATAAACTACAAATGTGTGAAGCTATAAGTTAATGAGAGCTGCTGGTGTTTGGTAATGAATGAATCATCTTCCAAAAGTCACCTTTATTAAATTCCAACTGTCTGCACCACGTGGACATAAAATCTTCTTTCAAAAACAGACTAACTGTTGACTTTCTACCTCGAAGTGACGCGTTAAAACACCAAAGACGCACAACAACACAAACAAACTCATCGATGGAGGAAGCTGTCATTTTCTGGGAGGTGATTACGGTTCTGGGTCCTCCTCACAAACAGAACCTCTGTCTCCAGATTCAATATGAATCATTTCCTGTCGTCTTTATTCAAATTGGTCGGACAGCAGCGCTTGAAACAACTTCTTCTATATCGAAATAGAACATAAAACCGATTTCACTGCAGTCAGTAACTTCTGAGCATCGATCCAGAATCTGGAATCAAACAGAACATCTAAAATCACGAAACACTGACTTCAGGCTTCATGCCTCCTCGTCCTCGTCTTTCCTGCTCTCCGACGCCTCTCTTTCTATTTTCACCGGCATGCTCGACTTCCTGGGCTTCTTCTTCGGGGTGGGGTCAGCTGACTCCCACCATCCTCGCTTTCTCTCTGCGACACCATGTGATCGGCCGTCACAGTGGGCGGGGCCACAAGGCTGGACGGAAGGTCCCACGAGGTGCAGACGGTGTTCGGTGTTGTCCGGAGCTACCAGGGGGACGAGGGAGGGAGGCGAGCCCAGGGAGGGAGCAGCGTGAGCGGGGAGGAGAGGAGGTGGCGAGGCCTGGAGGTTAGTCAGGGTGAAGCTGTGGTTGGTGTCTTGGCTTCGAGGGTGAGGAGAGGATGGAGGGGAGTCGGCCTGAGGGGGTGTGTTGTTCTGGCAGGCATTTAACCCGTTCCTCATTGGGTGTACATCGAGTTTGTGTGCGTCATCGCCCTGCTGCCAGAGCGTGGACGCCCTGCACATACGTGTTTGTGTGTCATGTGTGTTTCTGTTAGCCTGTTTAGCCTCATGAGTTTCACTGTGGATGCTTGCGTGGTCACACTGTGGGTTCCGATGGGGGTGAGTGTCTCTGCCGGTGCCGGTGTGCAGTCGAGGGTTCGGGTTGGCGCTGTGCCGGTTTCGGCTTCGCAGCGAGCTGAACACCATGGTGCAGCCCGCCACCGTGCAGCGGTGCTTGATCTTCAGGTGGACGGCGTTGTAGTGGATCTTCAGTGTTCCTGCACAAGCAGAAGGAAAGTAGTGCTGCTGTTAACGGGAGCTACCCAGAAGAAAAAACAGATTTGAATTATACGCAAGGGAAGGGGACCTTGAATCGAACCCTGTGGAACCCCAAGACACTCGATGAGTGGAACAAGTGCTGAATGTATTAAAAAAACAAAGACTCTGACACATTTATTCCCCATATTGGCTTTCGGAAAGGTCATGTTAGGAGGCAGCTGGATTGGTAGGAACCAAACTGATCCAGTTTACCAAATGGTTCAAATAGTTAAGGAAGGATGAAGTCTGGGAACTCTATGGAAACCAAGGAAAGTAGAAGATTGTAAATTGAGCCCTGTGGAACTCCAAGACACCGAGATGGACTGTGCACTAGGTGTGACTGGAGACTGGAATGTGCACTAGGTGTGTTAAAAAGTGGCAGTGGAACCACATCACATCTGCTTCACGAAAGGTTCATGTTTGGAGGCCGTTGTATTTGCAGGAATCAGACTGTCTCGGTGTATCTGAAAGTACAGATACTTAAGGAAGAATTAAGTAGGAAACTCTCTGAGACCCTGATATGTAGGATCAGTAGTGGATCTTGATTTGAGCCCTGTGGAACACCGAAACATAGGATGAGTTGAGGATTTTAAATTGGACCTTGTGGAATCCCAAAACATCAGTAGAGGACCTCGAGTTCGACTCTGTGGAACTCCAAGTTGCAACGTTAATAGAATATTCACAACAACAATAACACTGCAAACACACTGATCACCTCTGTAAAAATTCTGAAAAGGTAATATTAGTAGGTTGTTGCACTGACCAGTTGTTCCTAAAACTAGACGTAGTTAAGGAGGCGTAAAGTCGGGGTATCATGTAGACCCACAAGATATAAGATTAGAACAGGACCTTGATTTGACCCTGTGGAACCCCAAGATATAACATCAGTAGACGACCTTGAACTGGAACCTGTAGGATCTTCAAAAACAAGATCCGCAGAAGATCTCAAACAGAAC